AGTCTCAACCCCCAAAAGGATCATATGATGTAGTCCTTAGGCATAACAGTAGGGCTTATCTGCCTTAGTGGAAGCAACAATCGCACAGAGATCTCTGTAACGATATCATGTTTGTGGCTTGAGTTCCGGCTGTTTTCTTGATGTCCTTATTGTTTAACTTCAATCACATCTTTAATTTCTCTTATATATCATATAATTCTCATCTTGGCAATGCTACATCAGGTATGCTGCAATCCTGGGATCCTATCCTATGGACAGAAATATTTTGAAACCTGTAAGTCTATTATCTTCGTTATGCCTGATTTATGACATGCACTTTGAAGTACATGTTAATGCTACTGATTAGATTGATTTCTTGCTATGAAGTCTTCTTTTTATGTAGGTTGTGAGCAGACTAAATTGCTTTAGCATGATAATTGTCATAATACTACTAACCTGTGCTAGTTCTTGCAGTCACCGCCTTGCTTGCCAAATTTTCCATCTCTTGAAAGTTTGAATGCCGTGGGGTCATTGTGTCTTGGAAAATATACTCCAGTAATAACAGATTCCTAGATGTTATAAGCTTACCTCATATTTTTTCCCCCTTTCCAATTGCATGAACAAATTAATGGTTGCAGTGGTTCAACGATGTTCATTCAACTGATATCTCCGACAAATGTGAGGATATTCTGAATCAGCTATCCAAGACCCATGGCTGTGAAGTAAGTTCTGATTCAGTTGAATAGGCCGTCCAAAGTTACATGACGATTCCATAGAGTAGTGTCTCTAAAGCTTAAAGTAACTTAAGCCTCTCCATATTTGTCTCGTGTTTCTCACCTACTATCTTTTTCCCACTAATGAGCTGGTTCTCTTGTCTGAGTTCACTTCACAAGGCATAATTCTGTCTTTTTATTTATATAATTTGCTGAGTTCCTAATTTGACTTATATGTGTGCAAGGCGGTAGAGATTGTTATACCTGAGCTGCATGAGATGCGCGCTGCTCATCTAGTTTCAATTGGATCTGAGATGGTAACTGCATTGAATCCTGACTGTGAGGATGGGTAAGTCTGCATGTATAATGCACCTGTGAAATAGCATCATCATCATTCTGACCAGAAATGGACACAGCTGAGTAGGATCGAAGGTGATGTTCATTCTCTGTTACTAATATTTCATTTTGGGACTGAATATCCCGTTCTCTTTTCTCAGGAAAGGTACAGAGTTGAATTTGATTCGTGGACTAACATGGCACTGTTCCAGTCATTCACTGCATCAGATTATGTTGCTCCCCAGTGTCTTAGGTGAGCCACAAAGGAAAAAAAATAAAACAACAAATTGCAAGTTATTCTCGACATGAGATCCTTGCAACCCAACATGTAAATATTTCATGTCCTCTCACTGTCTTCAACTAGGCAGAAGTCTAAATACCTGTACTTATTCATGTCTTAGATTTTAGATCAGCTATATCATAGCTGAAGCTAATGAATGAAACCGTAGAACCTAGTTTATTCAGTTTAGGTATATGTCTTCCAGGTGGTCATTTGAAAATGCATTCGCAATCTCATTCGGTTCTTTCTTATAATATTCTTAGACATGGTGGTGATGCCGATATCTGATTTCAGGAGAAGAATGATGCACCATCATATGGAGATCTTCAAGAAAGTTGATGTCATAGTGACACCGACTACTGGGTAGGTCATAGTGTGACTAGCTCAACTTGGTGTTTCCCTTTGAGGATACAGTTTCAATGCTTGATGATTTGTAATTGGACTTGGCAAGCCTGACCTAAGCATAGTTTTTGTCGTTTCAATCACATCCAACTTTGAGAAGGAGCAAGCCGGTAGTATGCATAATTGGATTTAAATTTGTGATATCTCCTTCATTGGCCTGACAGATCTAATCAGGGTCACACTATTCAAATTTTTTCAGTCCTTCAATATTAGCTTAATTCTTCTTGTAGATTTTCAATTGACACATAAATTGTTTATTACAGAATGACAGCGCCTAACATACCTCCTAGTGCCCTTAAATATGGGGAGACGGATATGCAGGTTACAGGTTTGTCAGTTGCATTATTATCTCCGGTTGGATAGTAACCATCTTTTCACACCAATTGCATTGCAACCATAAGTTCTGTGCACATGCTTGCTTGAATTGCAATAACAAGTTTCGGATACTCAACGTGACATTCTTCGCAAGGGACAATTCTTGTGTAGTTTATGCGCTCTCTTTGTTTCAGGTTCCCTCATGCGATTTGTCATTGCAGCAAATCTTCTAGGTCTCCCTGCCATTTCTGTCCCTGTGAGTGACACTAGGTTTTTCATGGGATTTTTGTGTCGGGAATTCTTTTCTTCATATGCACAAAAACTGTCATTTTAGACCGCTGAAAGCCAACCTCATGCGAAGAAACTGAGGGAACAAATTGCATTAGCCTTCCAACTGCACCTTTTGCCACTGCATTAAGTCATTCTGTTCATCAACTCTAGGACAGTTATATCAAGCTCATCCCGTTACTTTTGTTATGAATTTTACAGATCGGGTATGATAAGCAAGGCCTTCCAATTGGTTTGCAACTGATGGGCCGTCCATGGGGTGAAGCTTCAATTTTACGCCTGGCTTCTGTAGTTGAGGTATATCTTTTTTTCATTTCGAGCGCCAATTCTTTGAAGTAAGTTGAGAGACGAATGCAATCGCTTGCCTATCTTTCTCTTGCTTTCAGGAACTCTGTGGATCTAAGAAGAGGCCTGTATCATTCTATGATGTTCTGAAGACAAGCTGAATGCAGCTTAGCTCCCGTTGCTGATGTTTCTCTCCCGCTGATTGTATGGGTTTTCAAGCACGCGGGGAGATGTTTGCAGTGACTTTATTGCTCCTGATTTAGCAGAGACCTCTCTGTTTTAATGTCGATTCGGAAAAGGACTTGGTTATCTGTCTACTTTTGTGGCTAGATGTTGGCTTTTCTAAAGTTTATCATATAAATCGTTTATAAATAATGACTTTCCCCTCAAAGATGTTGATTCTTCAATAAATCCACGGCTTCACTGTAGTTTATTTACAGGGTTACTATTAAAGTAGTCAGACAATGCTCGTTCCCCGATTTTAATTGTGAGATATTTGATCTATAAACAAAATTATTTCCAAGTGGCAATAGTAGGCGGCGACGAGAGGAACAAGGGCATCAGTCTTCACAAATAACGTGGGGAGATCTTTGCGGACCATATTTTTATCTTAAAAGCGACTTTATTGTCCTGTTTTAGCCGAGGCCTCCCTATTTGTTTCCATGTCAATTCGAAAAGGATTAATCATTTCAAGATGTTTTCCTTATCGACGATATTTATATTTAAATATTTTCATGGATAATAAAAATAGTTTTGGTTCACTCACTTTTTAAGAAACTATTTTTCAAAGTATCGCAAAATAAACACGCCCTTAAATATAGTTCAAGCGCATACTCTCTCGTTTCATATGGCTCGATATAACGACAAAAACAAGAGTATAGTTTCCATTCTCCAAGCGTTTGACAATTTCCAAAAAAAGAAAATAGAGATCGAAAGTAAACTTTGATAAAAAGAACAAAACACGTATTTTTTTCCCCGAAATTTAATGAGGAAAAAGAGATGATTTGCTCTGAAAAAAAATTGAATCTTTTAGATGTCCTGCTTTGGTTCATCCGATTCCTAACTTTTTTTCTTCTTTTTTTTTGGTCGAATCCGATTCCTAACTTTAGGTGGCACTAAATGAGCATCGACCCCTTCTCACCTAACTCAGAACTGCAATTATGTCTCTTCTCTCTGTTTTTCCCTTCGACTTTCTGTTTTGCTAAAACCGATTAATGAGCAACCTTCCATCAGTCAAGAATGTTGCGTTGCAATGTACGACTAACTGAACAATTTCAGTATCCTCACCAAGCAATCTTTCATTCTTGAGGTTGGAGACGGTTGATGAGCAAAAATGGCATCACCGGGTACCGCTCGAACCGTCCCGAACCGGTCATCGGAAAGTACGAGGAAAGAGTTCGGGCGAGCCTCTTAGAGCAGTCCTCAAGGGCTGGCCGGCGACGCTTAAGATTAGACACATGCTCATTGGTTACGAGCTCGTCACTGTTTAAAGTGATAAGCATAGCGATAACGAAGAGGCCGGAAAAAGCGGAATGCACGTCTTTATAATGGGAGTAGCTGGTCGATCCTCGTGCTGCTGTTCGCCGTGGGACTTTGATAATGGAGCTTGACCTGCTTCATTTCGCTTACTGACAGAGAGACGAGCGTGATGATGATTCGTGCGGCTCATCGAATCGTTAAATTTGACAAGAACAAGTGCGCTTGTCGTGTCATTTCATTCGGGCATTGAGATTAACTGGAGATATTTCGCTCTGGCCAACGGGGTTAATGGTTCGTGATGCTGTGATCTGTCTTTTGTCAATTTAGCATGCCGAGCGCTCGGAAGTCAACGCGCGCTCGAATCCCCAAGCTGCAGTCCGTCTTTTCGTTCGGACGTGAAGGCCCCGTCATACAAGAAGGCCTATCGCCATCGCTTTCGCAAGATGCCGAATAGTTTCTCTCTCTCTCTCTCTCTCTGACCTCGTCCATTTCTACCACCAGATTTGCTCGTTGTGGAATTTCCTAATCTCTTCCCACATCTGGCGAGAGAAACAGAGTACCCGGGATTTCTCCGTGCCTTGGAGTGATTTCTTCTTTCAAGGTACGTGCGGCGAGCATTACGATCGTGCGTGATTTTGGTCTGCGAGGGATGTCTGTCTTGCTGGAGAACTAATCGCGAACTTTGTGTGTGATGGGTGTTTGATCATTTGCTTGTTTGACTGACGAGCACTTTGTGTCCACTGTTTAGCTTCATTTTGGCCGTCTTATCCCGCGGTTACTAGTTTGCAAGTTGGTTGTCTGGTCGAGAATTCATGTCTTAATTTGGTTTTTCATTAAACAGGTTCATAGAGTATGAAGCTTTGATTGGTCCTATGTTCCTATGACTACAACAAGATCCGGTGGTTACTAACATTTTTTAGTAGTTTGGTCTTTCCCTTTTTTTCCTGGTAGAATTACTTCGACATGGGCAAGAAGCGTGTAATGTTACCAGCCGAAGAGCTCGACTTGTCTACTGTCAAGTATGAGGTTGAAGATATTGACGGTCAGTTCCATATCCTACTACATTTTCCTATTAAGTTTCGATGCTTTTCCTCGCAAATTCTACAAATAGACATGATGGGTTTTTGGGTCATGTGAAAAATGAGTTCGCCGAGATTCTGACTTGGGTGAGTCCTTTTGGCTGACTTGCAGCTCCGCATCTGACCGGTCTCACGTTCAGGCTGTTTGTCAAGATACTCGAGGCACCACTAATTGGCCCTGCTGTTATCTCTTACTTGAAGAACAAGAACCGAATGGTTGAGGTACGGTTGCGTTTCGTCTTGCATATTGCATTCTTCGAGCAGATTTTCTTGCTTTAATGCTGGACGATTGAATGTGACTGGGCTCTTCTTGTAATTGGCAGTTTCTTAGGAGTACTGTGATACCAGAGCCACCAATGTATAGACCTGAATATCCTCCTCAAGGTTTTTCCCCTTAACTAGTTAGCTTTAGTGTTGTCTTGTGTAATAACATGAAACTGGTGGGTACCAATCTATTTGACTGAACTTGGGATAGCTTAGTGAAAATGTTTCTCGCAGCTGAACAAACCGTAAGTTTGCTGATTTTTCTCTAATTGAGAAACTCGATGAAATTTGTTCTTGGCATGCTTTTTACTTTTACTCAAGTATTCTTTTCTTTCTCTCTCTTCCCATCACTTTTCTGACTATTTCGGAAAGCCATTATAAGTTTAAAAGAGAGGCATTTTCTGAAGTAATTTCGTGCTCTCCCCTGCTTTTCTTTCCCCTATTATTTTCAGCCTGTGCATGCTTTGCAGTGCATTCATTGCAGGCAAATGCATAGTATAGGGAGAGTAAGAAGAGGGCATACTGGGCATTAGCAGATTAACATGCAACAGGATAGATTCAAGTAGAGTGCATCCTTCCCATAAGAAATATATGCTATGATGAAGCTATTAATGTCTAGATCCAGAGCCTGGCACCATCTTATTGGATGAAGATGGAAATCCTGAAGACCGAGTAGAATTAGCGTTGAAATGTCTTCCGGACTATGATCCTGCCAACTCCTGGAATGGCAATCTCAGTCAATTTCGCTACTGGAAAATACGGGATTATGCGTATGCTTATCGTTCTAAACTTGTAACCCCATCCATGGTAAGTCCATATCAGAACCTATGAGGAGTCTCTTTATTATCAGCTTGAGCAAGACACGTAGTCTTACTGTCAATTATTAGGTGGCAGAGCGGATTATTACTGTCATTGAGGAGTTTAGCCATAAGAAACCTCCAGCTCCTCTACTAATTTCTTTTGACGCTGAGGAAGTCAGGAAACAAGCTGCAGCTTCCACAAAGAGGTTTGAGGAAGGTAGGGCAATCTACTGGAACGTGAGCTTAACTCATTGAAATGGTTGTTTTTGCACCTTCAAAGTATGGTCCCTGCTTGGTGTGCAGTGCACTGCCATTAGTTGGTGCAGGGGTGGCATGATAAATTAATGGCATTTCTGATGCAGGGAAGGCGTTATCAATCTTGGATGGGATTTTCATGGCAATTAAGGATGACATAGGCTGCCACCCATATATAATGAAGGGTAAAAATGGGTTGAAGTCTTTGTCGTTTCTCAAAAAATTCTCACCATCTCTTTAGTCTGTGTATATGACAATTTCTATTGACAGGTGCAACAACTTGGAAGGATGAAACTAATTCGAATAATGAAGATGCAGTTTGTGTTTCTCGATTACGTATCTGCGGTGTGATCTTGGTGGGCAAAGCAAATATGCATGAGATGGGCATGGGCACAACTGGAAACAATCCTAATTATGGGTGAGTTTTATTATGTGGAAATCTTGTAATTGACAAGCTAGAGTATGAGGCATGGGAGCGAGAAAATTTAAAGAGCATTTAAATGTGCATTTGATATTCTACAAATCAGCACATTCATTTCACCAATTGCTGTGCTGGCTTGTTAGTGATGTATCATGAACTTGTCAAAATTGACATTCCATAGAAATTGTCCCTCATCTCTCATCAGAATTTTTATATAGATCACTGCATTGAATGTAGAATGGTGTTGTCAACATATGTTCTGATGTGAGTCAATCTTCCAGTGGAACTTTCTTTTACAGGTGACTTTTTCTGGAGGAATTCTGAAGTGCTTCGAGACTGCTTATGTTGACCTTGTCTTTCTTAAAGCCATTTCATTTTACTTTTCCTATCAGTCTATGAAATAACAAGTTAATACCTGGGTTGTCTGAATATGTCACATGCACCAATATTTGAAGAAAAAAGAATGCATTTCCACGTTCCACATGATGGGCCAATGATAATACTGCTCATCGTAGGGATTATAGTAATTTTCTTCTCATGAGGATGCGTCTACCTTCTCACTCCTCTCCTTTTTTCTTGTGCAAAATGATCTTGAAATGGTTCATCCTTCTCGTCTTTTATTCATCAAAACAAATGATATATCCACCACTGTTGTTGACTTATCTCATTCGGTTACCCTCCCTCTTACATATATATGAATTAGCACATGTCCGTTCCTCAATTCATTCACACTGCATTGTATGTTTTTTGTTTGCAAACTTTTACCTTAAAATTCATTGGTTATGCATCTGCAGAACGACAAGGAACCCTCATGCCCCAGAAAGGTACACTGGTGGATCTTCCTCTGGACCAGCGGCAATTGTTGCTTCTGGAATTTGTTCTGCTGCACTCGGGACAGATGGTGGAGGTTGTTCTAGTGTCCTACTGTTTGGCTTGTGCTTACCATGTATTTTATGCTGACACTGACTTCACATAACAAGACAGGTTCAGTTCGAATACCTTCTTCCCTTTGCGGAGTAGTTGGACTGAAAACAACATATGGGCGAACAGATCTTAGGGGGTTAGATTCTGAACTTTTTCCTATTATTAATGCTAGGGACCTAGTATGGGCTTCAGTACACAAAAAGTGTGAATCATGGTGATATTGTGTTTGTTAGAAGAGTTCTGCCATTCTTTGCAGTTCGCTATGTGAGTCTGGGACGGTTGACATTATTGGACCAATTGCATCATCGGTGGAAGATGTCACGCTAGTGTAAGTATTCTGTACTTGTTACTGGATGTTTGGAGCCCTCAGCTCAATAGAGGTTTAATGTTTATAACCTCAATATGGAAATGAACAAATTTTGTGGTTGAAGGCATTGAAATGATCATCAATATTTTGGTGTTGGCACTTTTTCTTTGCCGCTTGTCTTGACTTATTAGGAGATGAGTTTGTTCAGGGAAAACTTTTGAGTTCGAATCACAACATTTGGGAGCATTGTTTCTTCCTATAACCGTTGTCGTAGGATTCAAATTGTTGTACCATAGGTTAGTACAGGTTAGCATGCAAGTTTATTTTTCAACTTTGAGATAACACTGCATAAAGCAAGACAGGTTAAGAACTTATTTGACTTGGGAAGCATGTGAGCTCTCTGACTTTACGGTGATGGATGAATTTGGATTCGTTGGATTTTAAAAAGCTGAAGTGACTATCCCATGTAATCGAATAAAGTCTTCATAATTGAAGATCTGAATGTCCTCACAGTTACTTTTGCTTCTTTATGAGACTTCACCCGGCAATCTCCAGCAGGTCACACTTGCCATTAGTTAAAGCTATCCCGCAGTCTCAACCACCAAAAGGACCATATTATGTAGTCCTTAGGCATAACAGTAGAGCTCATCTACCTTTGTAGAAGCAACAATCGCGCAGAGTTCTCTGTAACAATATCGTGTTTGTGGCTGGAGTTTCCAGCTGTTTTCTTGATGTCCTCACTGTTTAACTTCAATCGCTTCTTTAATTTCTCTTATTAATCGTATAATTCTCATCAAGGCAATGCTACATCAGGTATGCTACAATCCTGGGATCCTATCCTATGGACAGAAATATTTTGAAACCTGTAAGTCTATTATCTTCATTAACAAAAACTGCAGCTATGCCTGATTTACGACATGCACTTTGAAGGAATACGTGTTAATGCTACTAACACAATTGATATCTTACTGTCAAGTCTTCTTTTAATGTAGGTTGTGAGCAGACTAAACCTCTTTTGTATGATAATTGTCATAATACTACTAAACTGTGCTAGTTCTTGCAGTCACCGCCTTGCTTGCCAAATTTTCCATCTATTGAAAGTTTGAATGCCGTGGGGTCGTTGCGACTTGGAAAATATACTCAAGTAATAGCTGATTCCTATATGTTAGAAGGTTTCCTTTATTTTCTTTTTCCCCTTTTCAATTACATGAACAAATTAATGTTTGCAGTGGTTCAACGATGTTCATTCAACTGATATCTCTGACAAATGTGAGGATATTCTGAATCAGCTATCTAAGACCCATGGCTGTGAAGTAAGTTCTGCTTCAATTGAATAGGCCTTCCAAAGTTACGTGATTATTCCATAGAGTTGTATGTCTCTAAAGCTTAAAGTAACTTTAGTCTCTCCATGTTTGTCTCGTGTTTCTCACCTGTCATCTTTTTCCCGCTAATGAGTTGGTTCTTGTCGAGTTCACTTCACAAGGCATAATTCTGTCTTTACATTCATGTAGATTGCTCAGTTCCTAATTTGACTTATATCTGTGCAAGGTGGTAGAGATTGTTATACCTGAGCTGCATGAGATGCGCACTGCTCATCTAGTTTCAATTGGATCCGAGATGTTAACTGCATTGAATCCTGACTGTGAGGATGGGTAGGTCTGCTTCTCTAATGTACCTGAAATAGCATCATCATCAGTCTGACCAGAAATGGACACAGCTGAGTAGGGAATATTCAAAGGTTATGTTCATTCTCTGTAATTGATATTTCATTTTGGGACTGAATGTCCTGTTCTCAATTTTCTCAGGAAAGGTAAAGAGTTGAATTATGATTCGCGGACTAGCATGGCACTGTTCCAGTCATTCACTGCATCAGATTATGTTGCTGCCCAGAGTATTAGGTGAGCAAAAAAAAAAAAACAAGAGAAATTGCAAGTTATTCTCGACAGGAGATACTTGCACCCATCATGTAAATATATCATGTCCTCCCACTGTCTTCAACTAGGCAGAAGTCTGGATACCTTTACTTATTCATGTCTAGTTTTTAGATTAGTTATATCATAGCTGAAGCTACTAAAACTGTTTTTATTCAGTTTTGGTATATGTCTTCCATGTGGTCATTTGAAAATGCATTCGCAATCTCATTCACTTCTTTCTTAAAATATTCTTAGACGTGGTGGTAAGGCCGCTATCTGATTTCAGGAGAAGAATAATGTACCATCATATGGAGATCTTCAAGAAAGTTGATGTCATAGTGACGCCGACTACTGGGTATGTCATTTTGTGACTAGCTCAACTTGGTTTTTCCCTTCAAGGATGCAGTTTCAATGCTCGATGATGTGTAATTGGACTTGGCAAGCCTAATCTAAGCATAGTTTTTGTCTCTTCAATCATCCAAGTTTGAGAAGGAGCAAGCTGGTAGTATGCATAATTGGAGTTAAATTTGGGATCTCTGCTCCAATGGCCTGGCAGACCTTATCAGAATCACAATATATTCAAATTTTGAGTTTTCAGTGCTTCAATGTTAGCTTAATTCTTCTCATGGGTTTTCAACTGACACAGAAATTGTTTATTACAGAATGACAGCACCTAAAATACCTCCTAGTGCCCTTAAATATGGGGAAACGGATATGCACGTAACAGGTTTGTTAGTTGCATTATTAATCTCTGGTTCGACAGTAACAATCCTTTCACGAAAATTGTGTTGAAATCATAAGTTTCGTGCACATACTTGCTTTAATTGCATAACAAGTTTTCAGATACTCAATGTGACATTCTTCACAAGGGACAATTCTTGGGTAGTTTATGCACACTCTCTCTTTGTTTCAGGTTACCTCATGCGATTTGCCGTTGCAGCAAATCTTCTAGGTCTCCCTGCCATTTCTGTCCCTGTGAGTGACACTGGGTTTACGTACACAATTTCATGGGATTTTTGTGTTCGGAATTATTTTCTTCATTTGCACAGAAACTGTCATTTTGGACCGCTGACAGCTAACCTCATGCCGAGAAATTGAGTCGTAGCTCATTGAGCCAGCTGAGGGAACAAATTGCATTAACCTTCCAACTGCACCTTTTGCAACTGCATTAAGTCATTCTATTAATCAACTCTAGTACAGTTATATCTAGCCCATCCCGTTACTTGTGTTGCGAACTTTACAGATCGGGTATGATAAGCAAGGCCTTCCAATTGGTTTGCAACTGATGGGCCGTCCGTGGGGTGAAGCTTCAATTTTACGCCTGGCTTCTGTAGTTGAGGTATATCTTTTCTCATTTCGAGCGCTAATTATTTGAAGTAATTTGAGAGACAAATGCTATCACTTGCCTATCTTTCTCTTACTTTCAGGAACTCTGTGGATCTAAGAAGAGGCCTGTATCATTCTACGATGTTCTGAAGACAAGCTGAATGCAGCTTAGCTCCTGTTGCTGATGTTTCTCTGCCGCTGATTGTATGGGTTTTCAAGCACACGGGGAGATCTTTGCAGTGACTTTATTGCTCCTGATTTAGCGCGGAACTTTTGTTTTTAATGTCAATTTGGAAAGGACCTGGTTATCTGTCTACTTTTGTGGCTAAGATGTTGGCTTTTGTAAAGTTTAATTACCATACGAAGATTCGCTTTCTATCAAATAAATCGTTTATGCATAGTGACTTTCCCCTAAAACATGTTGGTTCTTCAATGAATCCATAGTTTTATTGTAACACCCGGGTTTATACGGCTTTAAAACTCGTTACACAGATATAGAACCCTAAGCTTTATAAGCTAGTCCAGGACACCCTTAGGTGATGTGGGACATTAAAACGCATTACGCAGATATAGAACCACAAGTCTTATAAGCCATTCTAGGACTCCTCCCTTAGGCGATGTGGGACAAAAAAGGCTTCTCCCTTCCCTATGCACGTCCAAGGACCGAGGCGCAAACGCACCGCCATCCCAGCTACGGGCCTCCCTCAAGGCTTTGTTCTCAGCACAGCGGAAGCTTGTGTGAAACACGTTGTTTGGGATAGAGGCACAGCCGCACTGTCATCCCTTAGCTCAACCCAATATTTTTCTCTTTGGGCCTCCCGCACCGGCGCAGATGCACCGCCATCCCAGCTACGAGCCTCCCTCAAGGTTTTGTTCTCAGTACAGCGAAAGCTTGTGTGAAACGCGTTTTAAAGCCGCGAGGGTCAATGGGCCCAAAGCGGATAACATTATACGTGTAGACCCGGGGTGTTACAGATAATTTACGTTTCCTGGTTTAAATTGTGAGTTATTTGATCAGTTAAACCGAAAGCAAAACTATTTCCAGGCGGCAACAGTAGGCGGAGATGATAGTTGCTGTGGCATCAGTGCTCATAGGTAACCGAACTTGTTGGCACGGGTGTCGACTTGTGACGATGTCTAGTGGCCGACTTCGTCTGGTGGGTAGAGTGGTAGCCTTTGGCAATTATGGCGGCGATGTTTGGAGTGGACATTGTTGTTGTTTTGGCTTGTGATGCTTCGTGGTGCTAGCAAAGATTAGCAGAAGTTTAGGCGCGAATGACAACATGTTTTGTCCCCGGCCCTATTTCTGACTAAAATCTATTTTTCCCTGACTTGACTAAAATCTATTTTTCCCTGACAAGTTTATGGGCAAAAAGTAGCGTTTATTTCTGTTTTCAGAATAGAAATTCGTTCGATAAGTTATTTTTAAATTTCTGTTTCCGGTAGCCAACCAGTGAGTGGCGGCAGTGGGTGGGCGGCGAGTATTGGCGGACGGGCGGCGGCAGGCGGGTAGCCGGCAAGCGGCTGCGCGGGGGCGGCGGCGGATGGTCGGCGGGCGACGAGCAGCGGCAAATGGGTGGCAAACGGCCGGCGGGCAACGGCGGTGGATGGCTGGTGGGCGACGGACGGCCAACGAGCAATGACAGGCGGCGGTCGCGGGCGAGGGGTGGCAAGTGGGCGGCGGTGGGCGGCAAGAGTGAGCAATAAAAGAGAATTGTCATTTCTATTTCTGGAACAGAAATAGAAAAGTATAAAAGTTTAACTTCTCATTTCTGTTCCAAATTTATTTCTGGAACAAAATTTGTCCTAGAAATAAAAAAATGAAATTATTTTACCAAACGAACTTCTGTTCTAAACCTGTTTCAGAGAACAAAAAAATAAAAAAAACTCAAAAATAGAATTATTATCATTCGCGTCCTTAGTAATCTCCACTGCCAAAAGAAATAAACTCTTAGCGGCAAACTTGACCTCAAACAATATCTATGGTCCAATTGCGTAATCAAATCCGTTCGCAAATGTTTAATATTCATGTGTACCAATCGGGAATTGATCGAGTGGCTACTAGGACCAGAGTCTCATGGCCATGAACACGCGATCCGGAGTCTTACAGCCACCTCGGATGCTTAGCTCGAGCTCGAGCTCAAAGTAGATAGTCATGGCCCGCTAGAGCTTCGAGATTATGGCCATGGATGCTCGAGCTCGAGGCGGCGAGCAATGTCATTTGTGTCAACAGGTTTATGAAATCTTTTAATTCATGTCGATCCGTGTCAATTTCTTTTCTCAAGCTTATCAAATCCACATAAACTTTTCCATCACCAAACTCATCCATCGATGGTCCATGTCAGCAACAGTAGATCAGAAAAGAAAATTTAACTGTCATATAACTGTTACATGAACTCCTAGCAATTGGATCCGCCACTTCAAAACACGCACTCTCTCTCTCTCAGAGTGATCGGACGGGGGAATTCAAGAAGAGCTGCCATGGCTTCTCCCGATGCTGCCAAGAAAAGGGAAGCGCCTGCTCTCAAGTCACCTTCCTCCCTCTTCCCATACGCCATCTTCCTAACCCTAATCATCCTCTTCCTCTACTCCACTTTCCTCGCTCCCCCGGCCTCCCCTCCTCCGGAAGAGAAGATCTCCCTATCCTGCAACCTCTTCGACGGCCGATGGGTCCTCGACCCGGAGACCCGGGAGCCCATGTACGACGAGGCATGCCCGTTTCACCGGAACGCCTGGAACTGCCTGAGGAACCAGAGAGAAAACATGGGTACGATCAATTCCTGGAGATGGGTGCCCAAAGGTTGCAGCTTGGATCGGATCGACCCGGTTCGGTTCCTGGGTCTGATGAGGAACAAGAACATTGGGTTCGTGGGGGACTCGTTGAACGAGAATTTCTTGGTTTCGCTTCTGTGCATACTGAGGGCGGCTGATGCGGGTGCCAAGAAGTGGAAGAGGAAAGGGGCTTGGAGGGGAGCTCATTTTCCCAAGTTTAACGTCACGGTTGCTTATCACAGAGCGGTGCTGTTGGCCAAATACGAGTAAGACCTTTCTTGATCAGTGGTTTTATTTTTTGTTCATATCGTTGCATTGTTGAAGAGATGATCTTGAATGAGTGATGTGGCTATTGTTTTGATATTTTGAATGTTTTCAAGTAATAGATGGCTAGTGATGAATGTTCATGTCAGTTGCATATTTAATCAATTAACAAAGTTCACAAGTATACTTATCCCCAGTTATTTGTGTTTTCATCAGACAACCTTCTTCTCCATCAGAACTTTTATCAATTTTCTGGAATTGAATTTGGTGACTACGCGGTGTCCCTGCACCGTATTCCTATGGACAGAGTTTGTTTGTAGAAACTGCTGAAATTGTTTAAAAAGTGTAAAGATTTTGAGAGAGCTTCTGACTTTGTCTTAGAGGTGGTTGTCAACATTGTTGTGAGAATGTGCTAGAAAAACCTGAGGGGTATGCGATTGATGGACCAGCATAGACCAGCAGATCGCAATGCCGTAATCTTTAAGAGTTGCTAATTGATGCTGAGTCTAACTAAAGTATCTGCAATTAAGCTATAAAGATCTCTCGCTTATCGATAGCTGGAACTGGAAGTGTTAAATCCGATTGATCACCTAATGACAATATCGATGTTGCTTATTTTCTCTTAAATCAATCTGTAAAGTTTGCTTATAAAGCATTGTACTTATAACCTCACATGCTTATAACTGATTAATGAAGGTGGCAGCCGGAAGAATCCACTCTGGCTGAAGGACATGGATCAAAAGGTTTTTATCGAGTAGATGTGGACATTCCTGCTGATGATTGGGGCCACATCAATGGCTTCTATGATGTCCTTGTTTTCAATACTGGTCACTGGTAATTTCGCTCTGTCGCTTAGTTTTGTTCACTAAGATAAATCTATCTGATGCTTTTGCATCCTTGGTGTCTTAATGCTTTCATTTCTTTCCCTGCACTAATATCGTGTCTCTAATGAAATGTGTGGGCTTTGCCCTATAAATATCTAGAACCTTTAGGCTGTGTAGGTGATACCTGATTACTCTGCTTAGTCTTAAGATTTTGTCTGCCGTGAAGACCATTATCTCCTCATTTCTAAGCTAGTTATGTCATTTCTTGTGTGTCCTGATGTGTAGGGTAACCGTTTATGCTATCTTTAACCTTGTCAGGTTGGATCAACTGGTGTATTCCTGTTATTCCATATTTATTTTTAGTTTTATGGACTGAGGTGAACTCTATGAGTACTTACATGGGTGGTTTAGGGAGCCTTATTGTCGATTGGATCAGTGCTGAGATAAGTGAATATGGTATCTGAATAAGACGAGAGCAAGGAAAGAAGTAGAAGTTTTAGGAGAAAAGTTAAGTCTCAGCATTATTATTCCCACTGGTGGTTTTTCGAAGAAGCAAACTGAGATAACATAGGCTGGAAAATAGTCAAAAGTGTCAACCGACTAAAGATTGCGGTTCTCGTGAATCTGAAATGCTGCCATTTCACTATTAGCCTCTTTAAGAACTGTTAATATTAGTCGCTTGTTCTTGCCTGTATAAGCCTTTCCCTGAACATTTCTTACATGGAACCCTTTTTCCTTTGATAGGTGGGGTTTGGATAAGTTCCCAGAAGAGACACCACTAGTCTTTTATCGGGCTGGACGCCCGATCTTCCCACGCCTCAAGATGTTGGATGGACTCAAAGTTGTTCTTGAGAATATGATTTTGCATATACAAAGGAAAATCCCCAAGGAGACCCTCAAGTTCTGGCGGTTACAGTCGCCAAGGCATTTTCACGGTGGAGACTGGAATCAGAATGGTAGTTGCCTGTTCAATGAGCCACTCCAGGATTCTCAGGTACGAAAATAGAATCTTGCACTCTTTGTGCCTCACTGCTCTCTCATGCTACTGTTCCAGTATGCTAGCTGATCAAGTACCATACTTCAAAGATTTCTTGCATATCAAATAACAGATTTAAGTAAATACTTTCCATAAATTTGTGCTTGCTCTTCCTCTGGCCGTTTCTCGTTGTTGAGCTACTTTGGGACTTCTCTACATATCGCAACAACACAATCAGATTTTTACTCGGGATTGGGTACTAACAACTAGACAGCTTGATATGTGGTTTGATCCCAGCAACAATGGCGTGAATAAAGAAGCAAGACTGCTGAATAATCTGATCGAGGGCACGCTGCGAGGAACGGATATTCAGTTGCTGGATTTGACACATCTGAGTGAATTCAGAGCTGATGCCCACCCAGCAATTTGGTTGGGAAAGAAGGACGCAGTGGCTGTTTGGGGCCAAGATTGCATGCACTGGTGCCTACCTGGTGTGCCTGATACATGGGTTGATATTTTGTCCCAATTAATCCGCCGTGGCTTGGAGAGACGGTGACGAACTAGGAAGTATCGTGCGATGGTGACTGTTCAAGATGGTGATGAAGCTAGCTGGTTGAATTTTGACAACGGGTTCGCACCTAATCATGTGAAACCGACTCAATCTTTGAAATTCTTTATTGATTTGCTGGTAGACTTAACAGCTGCTCCATGGCTTGCGACGAACTCCGAGCTGACGATTTTAAAGAGAAGTGTCGCTTCACAGCTAGTGACAAGCTGTACCAGTCAACCACCGAGGCACTTCAATCGCAACATGTTAGGAAATCCAAATTCGAGGGTCTCGTTTGTTGCTGGTGTGCTTGCCTTAACCATGGTGGTCATTTTTTTTTTGTTTAAGCTTATGGATCATAGATCTGAAGTTTGTTCTTCCTTGTAAGGTGAGCTATTCTCTCTCTTGTTTTAGTGGGGAGGTGGGTGAAAAAACGGCACATGTCCGGGTTGGTCTCTTGAATAGGGTCATTTTGTAAAGACGACATTTAAATTAAGAAATAGATGAACACAATCCATTCTTTCGTTCAATGTTCATGCATATTGAGATGATTTGGTGCGATGTGAATGGTTCTTGCAAGTACAAATCCATCATTGGAGTCGATCTTCCGATGTGATCGTAGCAATTAGATTTGTATGGTACTCACATCTAATCAACGATTTTGATGGGCTTGATCTATTTGGAATTCGATCCTTGCGAGAGGGTCGCACCGTAATTACGGGTCTTCTACTTTAGTTTTTTATTAAAACGTGATCGGCATTTTCGCCGGGTATTTAAATCAGAATATTTGAAATCTTTTCCAGAGAAAAACATTGCTAATCAAGATTATTTCAAATATTTTTCTCGCAAATTGTGTAAATGTAAACAATAGTTTGTGTTATTTAAACTGTGGAGAGTCGAAATTAGCTAATAAAAACTGAGTGCGACTGAATCGTTAAAAGTTACTTTTCTGTTTTTCCAAAAGTGGACAAATATAGGCCTATGCTTACTTTCATGCCCCATGGTATATAAAGATATTAATCAGGTGTTTTTCCATGCTTTCAATCACGTATCTACCCATCGCCGTCGACCAGTAAGAAGAAGAAGAACCCTAGAACCGGCAATCAGAGTCCCGTTTTCGCTTCCCCCAGATCCCTCTCCTTCGCGGCCGTCGTCCTCCCTTCATCAAATCCTCGTCCTCTCCGAAACATTCGAACCTCCTCCTCCTCCTCCTCCGATGGCGCTAAGAACGCACCCGCCTCTTCCCCTGAATGCCCTGCCGCGACCCCCAACAGGACCACCCGGCCTCCACCCCCTCCGCCTCAACGCCCGCAGGTCCCTCCCCCTCTCCGCGCCGTGCAGGGGCGGCGGCAGGAGGAAGGAGGCCGGCGACGCCGAGCTCGCGTCCGCCCTGGCCGAGGAGTTGGCGAGGGCGCACGCCCAGGGGAAGCAGAGGGACGAGGCCCTGACGAAGGGCAGGGCCCTCCTGTTCTCCGAGCTCTGCGGCTACTTCGCCCTGCGGGAGGACGAGCTGAGGAGGAAGTGGGAGGGGATGGAGGATGGGGAGCGGCGGGGTCTGGCGACAGAGTTCGTGTCGAATTGGAGCGCCGATTTCCATCCCCTGTCCGCGAGGTCCGTCGTGGAGATGGTGGAGGAGCATCTGCAGCAGCATGGAAAGAAGCCGCCCTTCTCGAACGATTCGGCGTTTTTTCCTGGCTTGAAGAGATTGATGGGTTTGGGCGAGAACAAGTGAATGGTGTCTTGGGGTTGTGGTTTTGTTGGGTGGGGGTAAGTTCCTATTCGCTCCGCGATTCCTTTCGTCTTTTCTTGGATGGGAAGAGCTGAGTAGTGAGTAGCGACTGCCGTGCACGATGTTGTTCTGATCAATATTGATTGTACATGTTTATACAGCATCATGATGGCGACTTGAGTTCGGTTGATTTGTGTTTTTTCTGCTTTGCTCTCACCTTCCCTCTTCCTTTTTCAGCTGTCCCTCTTGAAGAAGTGGAGTTTTGTTCGTTCGTTGAATTCTGTGGATTCGCAATGGACATCCGTCAAACGAACCATACTTAAATTCGGCAATAAAACTTTTTTTTTTATTGGGTTCCCTGCCTATAGCGTTTGATGGGTATTGAATATGAAGCGAAATGAGTCAATTTAAACTGGTCAAATCTTTAATGATCTCCCTGGGATGTTTGATTTGAGTGACTAATAAAAGTAAATCCTTTGACCTCTGCTTCATGTCATGTCTTGATTATCGACCCGACAACTCATTCAACTTGAAGAATACTTGTGGGAACGAGCGCAAAGATTCTCAAAGGAGGAATTCCGAGTTTAGCTGTTGTGGAAGTAAAGCTAACATCGTGCTAAAGCATAATAGAACCAGGCAAAAAAGATCTCCACCTCCTTGCTCTGTCAACTTCAGTCGTACTTTCCCTCTGTAATTGGCCTTTTGGGTGGCTGGGTCTAAATCTATTGCGAATTGGCTTCAAAGCTATGTACTCCGGTGCCAACTTCTTGTTTTCTTGGTCAATGCAGATTGCCTGTACCGCAACGGTAATTGCAGTCGTCTTCTCTGTTTATTTCTTGAACGACTTCTGGCGGAGAAGAAGCGCACAATCTGTTCGTAAAAATGTCCCACAAGTCAATAGCTACTTGCCTGTCTCGCTTGTCCAAGTAAATAGCAGTTTGTGTGTTGCTGCTATACCAGGATATGATTATGAGGTTTCTTGAGCTTTATGGTATCAGATACTGACAAGGTCTTCACTGAATTTCTCTATGATAGCCTTATAGATGCCGATGTCAGGGCCTTTAAAGACAGTGAGGAAGCTCCGTTTAGGAGAAGAAAATTGGCCCTGATCTTTTAGAAGCCATCAAGAACCCAAGGATCTTCTTACCAATTTTCTCTAAAGAGTAAAGATTATGCTTCTAGTAGATGGTGCCTCAAGGAGCTGGCGCCCACGGTTAAATGTAGGGAAGAAAGGAAACATGTGATCTTTTCAATCTTCTGTTTCGACCCATGAGTTCAGCAGCCAAAAGCCTTCTCTCGGCACGAGAAGCATGAGGCCATGCAAGGATGGAGGGATGCTCTTAATGTGGAAGGAGCATTGAAAGGATGGGAAGCGGAGAACATGGCTGATGGGTAATCTGTTAACTCATGAGTTTGCGTGACTTTCTATGTTGTGGATTTCTATTTTCTGGGTTTGTGAATGCATGCTTGGTTTGCTAGTATGTATCTGGAAAAGAGATGACTGTTATGGTATATTACTAATCAATGACTATGGCATGTCACTCTTATAAAGTATGATTGTAACATTTGCATATCGTATCACTGGTGGTTTATCACTGCTTTAACTACCGCCACTAGCCAGCCAATCCAGCGGTGCTCTACTGCTATTCCCTCTACAACCACCACCAATCAGGTAAGACTACTGTTGCCATGGTCGTGTACAACGAACTTCTTGAACCACGTGAGTACCATATCTTCGTCAAAGACATCTGAGAGCCAAGGTCGTCCCGAGTTAGATTTACCATTTCCATGCATGCTCCCATCGGCAAGGAGGATATACTGTCGCTGTTCATCTGCTATAGGCGACGATCTCCTGAATTTTGGCTTTTTTCTGATTGTATGTGTGAACCGGTCATCTTGCAATGTTTCCTATGTCATGCTGAGTGAAGCAGTTATCTCCTTCAGCTGAAAGAACTTGGTGCAGTGTGTTTATGGAGATGAAGCATGCTTGTATTGTAGATCTGTACTGATATTCCTGGTTCGGTTGTTAAAGCAGTTAATTGATGAACTTATCATGGCAACTTAAGTCGGTGCTCCACATTCTTGTGCAGATTGCTAGTGTTTTGCGAGGGAAAATAAGGAATGTTGTACCTTGCCGGTAAATGATTGAAAAAGTTAAGATAACTTTTCAAATGCGTTGGTAACTAAATATTGACTAACAACTTGTTTTGCCTGTATGTTATTAGTAAGTTACTATCAAATTTTGAAAAGTGCCCACATTTATTTATACTTCAAAAATTATCCCCGGTTTTAATGGAGTTTAAGTTACCAACTCTTTTATGGACCAAGAAAACAGTTACCAACTCTTTTGAAAATTATCAGTTCTTTTCAAAATTACCTACTATTCCAACATACCAACATCTACTTATGTAGCTTAACTTATTAACTCTTATATGAGCCAAATATCGATGTTTATTCGATTGTTTTAAAATTATAAATTGTTCCAATAGTCTACCACAATTTATTCACATAGACCAACATTATATGAAATTACGAAACATAATATGAAATTACTGACTTTTTTGACTTCATCTACCAACATTTATGAGATTGTTGCAAAAGTAGCAATTGTTTGAATAGTTTACCGGTATTTAGTTGCGGAACTTACCAATGTGTTAAATGATCTAACTTTTACATGAAATGTCCCTAATCACATTCAAAAGTTGCCATCATCTTCCTTTCTCGTAAGGAATGTTACTAATTAATGTGAGAACTTCAACTTTCTAGAATATATTCAAACTTTTTGACCAACAAAAATGTATTCAAACTTGCTCTTTCTCTTAATGAAAAGTCAAGGACTAAGCTATCTTCTGATAATTTGAAAGTTCCAAAGTTGTTACCGATAAGTTTGAACTTACTTTTGAACCTGGAAAGTTAGAGAACACATGGCAAAATTACCAACCAATGTAGAAGAAATTTATTTCTACAATAGAGAAGATTATAAATTTACTTCCTTGCATCTTACTAGCCTAGGCAAAATGACATTAGAAGTGTCAAAAGTTTCGTACGGCACTCACTTTAGTGTCCAAAATTTTCGCCGACTTATTTAAGTGCCAAATCGAAGAAAAAAAGATCACTTAAGTGTATCTGGCAAGAAACTCCTATCAAAATGATTACGTGGCATTTATAATTAAAAAAATTAAAATGAATTGGCATTTTTTTTAAAAAATTCAATCCACCTGAACAAATAGAACAACGTCGCACAGTCCAACGTGGCTGGTTGTGTAAAACGACGTCGTTCGCTCCGACTCTCTCTCTCCTACATTCTTTGTCATCTTCTCCTCCTTCACCGTTCTCTCCACCGCTGCCCATGGAGCCACCACCCAGTACGCTAAGCACAGCCATCCTCTTCACTGAAAAAAATCGACTCGTTTCACTTTAGCCATCGTGAGATTGCCGTCGTTGTTGTTCTCAGCTGCGTCCGTAGTTGTGATTTGTCCAGCTCTGTTTTCACCGTTCTTTGACCAAAAGCTTCGAAGAGTCGGAATCGCGGTTGCAGATCGTTCATAGATTTCGATTCCGGTTGCCATTAACATTTCTTGTAATTGTTTGTTGCTGTTCGTCGCCATTCATCGTAAGCCATCTTTGCTGGCTTCATCTCCGGACTAAGACCAAGAGTGCTCTGTTTCACTTTGTTCTATCACCGAAAATTTCAAAGGTTGCTAGATCTTGTTCCAAGTCCTCATGACTGTTCTGATTTGAGTGTCGACAAGTTCCAAAGCCAGTTCACGCTTTCTTAATCATCGATTGTGACTAGAATCTCTTTTCATCAAGTTACGATTATATTCACTCAATTTCAGTTTATTGAGGACAAAAATAGCGGTGTCGAAAGTTAGTTTCCGATTGAACAACAATCTGATTGAGTTTGATTTTAGCTCGATGATTCTTAATTTGTTTGCATGTTTGGCTTTGATCTGGATGTTGGATTCCAAATTGCTTTGAATGTAAATACTGTTAGGAAATTGCTCGCCACATGTTTGATAGAATGCCTTGTTGGAAGTTTGTTTGTTGGTGCCTTATCCCACATAGGAAAGTTTGGAGTAAATGGGCCAATTTTTAAGTGTGAGAGTCTTCTAATTGTAAGATCGAATACGATGAGCTGAGCGTGTTTGATCCTGTAATACCTACATGCAAGTGCGTGACTAATTGTGCGGTTTTGGCACTAATCCTCATTTGTTATTTTCATTTATTATTATAAAATAACTATTTTGTCCTATTGAAATAGTGTGGTCCTTCATAAAGGAATTATGGTTAACTTTTTAATTAATTTCGAATTTCATTATTTTGCCTAACACTTACAATCTTTGGAAAGTTATATCTATTCAAACATAACCTCTTAACATTTAGAGAGTTGTGTCTATTTTGGACATAACTTCTTCTCCTTGAAAGGTGGTAATTTTTCATAAATTATGAAATTTGGAATTAAAAACATTATTTTATTATTATTATATTTTTTAATCCAAATTTTCAACGTGTCTTTTCAGAACGTATCTGTTTGGGAATAAATTCTCCCGAAATGTTGCATTCGGTTAAAGAAGACTGAAATATATGTTCATATTTTTTCATTCATATTTTTTCAGTCTCTTTTCACTTACTTTCGATACTTCTTTCTTAAACCGTACAGCCACATTTTCCAATTGTTTCCCTTTGAAAGTTTATAGAGAAATACTAGAATTGATATCTAGTATTATCATTGAAATTTTTTTGTATCTTGGAAGATTTTTGCTAGTAACCATTAGCAACGTTGGAGGACAAACAATTCCTTAAAGAAAGTGTTACCACGCCTTAAAATCTGATTCCATTTTCTTCCCGATGGATCATATTTTTCCCCAACATGCCTAAACTGAACTCATGCTGATTTGTCTCCTCCTCCCATCAACCTCAAAGCCAAAACAAAACCCGAGAATGGACATCCTCAAGCAAGAACTACTCAGGAAGCGCCAAACCCTTGCTTAAAAAACCGGCGATCGACGCATCTTCAAGTGCTTCGAGATTAAGCAGAAGCAAATCCAGAAGCTTCGCAAGCAAGAGAAGCACGAGCTCGAGGCCAAATTCCATCGCCAATCCTCTTCCTCCGACACCGCCTCCAAGCTCAATCCCTCCTCCATCTGCATTGGGGGAAAATCAAATAGAGTTTCAATTTGGGGTTATGGTAGATTTAAGGATTTCAATTTGGGAAATTTCTTTTATGTTGCGGTTTGGGATTTATATTTTGGAGCAAAACACATAGATGATGTCATTTTAGGCTACATATGCTAACTGAGCACGCCGGCGAGCCATGTCGGATTTCCGGCAACATTGATCGAAATTGGCACTTAAATGACTGTTTTCTTAAAAAAGTGGTACTTAAGTGATCTGAAAAAAAACTTTTGGCACTAATGTAAGCACCGTACAATACTTTTGGCACTTTTAGTATTCTTCTGCCTACTAACCTATATAGAAGTTACTTACCATGTTTAAAAACCAAAAAGTAACTAATAAAACTTACTTTTAAGTTTAAAAAGTTACTAGACTTGTAGTGGATTTTTTTTATAATCACTTACAGGGAGAAAGACTGACTTCATTGAGTGATAAATCGAGAACAATTTGATAAAATTGTATCTATATATGATGTCATAAACTTGGTAGATGTTAAGGATACATGTAGTGGACTTTTATAAACGTTTTGTGAAATTACATGCAGCCATACGTCAAGAAAGATCAACTAATTCGAAGAATCTTTTGCCACCAACCGACGCGCATGTGCTGAAACTTCAAATCCATGTTTGCGATTTAAGACAGGTCTCTGTCACGTAGATCAAACTCAAGCTTTTAAGAAAGATTAATTCCTGGTCTGGTTTTTGACGGATTCAAACCTAATCGTCCTCGAGCGACCAAGTCTTCTTCAGCTCTTTGAACAAATGAATGTTGAGAAAACCTCTTACATAGTTTGAAGTTGACAAAACGATCCATGGTTTATATTGATCTTAATAAATGCGAGAAGTGTTTATGTTCAGGTAATATTCGTGTGACTGAAAGATCTTCAGAACAAATTTAGATCGGTGGAATTCTATATTGACTTGAAAGCATTGAGATCTTATGTCTACAGAATCTACATCATTATCGTTGTAAAAGTATCTTGGAAAGAATAGTTGATAATATCCAACAAGCCATAAGCAACGTACTATGTGAATATCAGCAAGTGTACTGCATAAATATCTACAAGGCAATTGGATGAATATTCGCAAGGGAAGTGCATGAATATTAGCAAGGCTACTAAGTGGATATCAGCATACAATGCCGGAGCAGATGCTGGATATCATCAGAATAAGCTGAATATTAGCAAAACACCTATTCTACCTGCAACGAGATTCTTATCACAAACTTCAAGATTTTCATTTTGAGATACTTAAACTCATTCTTTACAGCTAGTGATATCATATGGATTGTCACTTTAGAAGATCTTGATTGTCTATCAATCTTAAAGATTATCTTCGCAAAATAATCAATCATGCGGGATATCTTGGTTGATTGACAATCATTCTAAAGGCAAGATTATTTCCATAGCTGAAGATCTCCATTGTTGGAAACCAAGATTTGCTTGTATGGGCGGCTAAATCAATGGGATCTTTGATTGTTCAACCTCAACAGCTACCTAATCTTCTAAACAATTATCCAACAGGTAGATTGGAAACTGATCCTCGAAAATTGTTCAACAGGAAGTTCGGATACTGAGGAGTATGAAAGAAGACTAAGGTGTCGAAGAGCAAGATGATCAAGAGTATAAAATTCCAAATTTTGAGAGTGCTTCACATACTTTGAATTGTCTTTAGAGAGCATATTATTGAATCTCTTGAGAGGTGTTAACAGTGTTATAAGTGTGTGCTTAGGTGTGAGATAGTGAGACATATCAGCTTGAGTATTAGCAGCACGTACTTTGTGAAGAAGTGCTAGAGTATTAGCAGACACATGCAACTGTAACTTCTCATCGATTATAGTGGAATCCAGCTAGTAAGATGTTAGCGTGGAAGAGTGGACGTAGACTCA